TAGCCGGTGTGCTGTGCATAGGAGGTAGTTTATGTTTTGTCAGGGCGCAGAGGTCGTCGATGGCATATGTGGGTTATTTTTAGCTGCCAAATACTGTCCCTTTGCCTAAGAAGAAAACTAATAAAAAATACCCGTAAGTTGTCCACCTACTTCGAATAGTGGCACATCGTCTCGTTGGCACCATAGTGAAGACCCGCGAAAAGACGAAAAACCCCTATAAACCAGTCAGAGCAATTTTGGGAGATTCGTGGTAATCCGCTACTTTTGAGGTGTGAGGTTCCGTTGCAGGAAGCGAAAACGCCACGATTTTATCCAACCAATTGCTGTTCACCATTTATTGCTCTAGCACACTGCCTGTTTCAACCATTTGGTATTCCTCCACCTCCCAGAAAGGGGCCCCTTGAATGAGGACACCACTATTGCAGCTTTCTTTTTACGTAATGTCGCTGTTTGGATGGCCTGTCGCAAACTGCGCCAGCTAGTCATTATAACAATGCCTCGACCCTTAAGTACACGTATTTTCGTTACAGCCTTGAAACATGAAATCATGGGCTATCTGCTAGGTAACATCTATGTAACCCCCTAGATCTTGGGAAACATTGGCCTGCCAGATTAAGTAATCAAATTCATCATCATCATCATCATCATCATCGTCAATATAACCGAAAAATATAGGGGTGCTTATTTCTGCCATTGAAGCTTGGATGCATAATCATGGCAAACCGAAAGATCAACGCCTTGCGCAGTCAGTAATACATGAGATTGGGCTGGTGCTTCATTAGCAACGACACTAAGGACTCGCAGAATGCTTGTTGCTTCGGGCGTCTTCGTATGTCAGCGGTAACTTTCTCCCTTTGCTTCAGTAGTGCTTCCTGTACCGCTTCCAAATCGAACCGACGCATGTACTGAAACCGGATTAACCGTTATTAAAAGCAAATAATCGAGGGCTGCATGTAACCAGCCTCAAGCACGATCTTTTGAGGAGGGCATGTGAGGATCTCATGGACTTCACAGCCAGCCTTGTGCAACGGACAATTCATTTGTGATCATACTTTTCCGGCAAAACAAGGTATCACATGACGTTCGAAGACTGATAAACCAAACTGATGATTTAAGCGAACATCCTGCAAGACCAACTTCTCTGAATGCATTGGAACCTGAACAGCACGGAGTTTTTTCTTGATCCAGCTCGCATTTCGTGAGATTTCCCCGAAACTGGTTCTGCATCGTATAACTATCATTAAAAAGAGGAGAGCATGATGCTGGGTTTGCTTTCGGCCATATCTTAAGGATGCCCCATGCAGAATCCTGCAGTGTCAGTATACACCTTACCCTACTGTGTTTGAGCCTGGCCTTTACAGTGTTTGACCATTGTCAATGAGTAAGGTTAATTGGAGGCCTGCAAAGACATCCGATGTGGCCGGAAAATTGCAGCCCTTATTTATTGAGAACTTCAGTTGCTCGTGTTGTTTAAGATTATTCCTTTCGGCCGGATGGTCTTAGATACAGCTGTGCTGATTTCGTGAATATTAATTGAGAGAGCATTGGAAACGTCAAACGGTGATCAGCCGGAGAAACGCAGCGGTTTGGGAAGCTCGCAGCGACGTCTTCCCTTGCTAACTACGGGGCGGCGGTTGGTTATGAGAAATGTCTTTGACACCTACGTGACGGAGTTCTTCGGCTGTTGAAGTCCTCAGGACCCTGTTATCACAAAAGTGGTCAGGCTGTCTATTTTCGAGAATCGTAGCAAACTTCGTCGCCTAACAGCGGCACCGCAAATAATAACTTGAACACACGATCCAGGACTCAACCTGGGAATAAATCCGTTGTCCGTATCTTCAAAATTGTCCAGGTGTGCGAGCAGTGCCATAAGACACCAAGGTTCTTGTGTTCCCGGTCTTCAGAGGAGCTTCTATTCTAGTGCTTAGTCGTAGCTACATTAGTTCAACATTATGAGCCTCGGAAGTTTTGCCCATGATTTCCACTTTATCCCTTAAAAACTTGTTACACAAACTAATTTCCGACGACAAATAATAATCGCTCAGCCGTAACGCCTTTTAGGTGAGCTTAGGAGTGGAACATTGGTTGGTGCCAAGCGGAAAATTCCCGATTCTTCTAACGAAGAGACTGGACCTTACCGTGGTCTTCTAACGAACTGGACCTTACCGTGGTGTGACGGTTTGCGCACCTCAGCGATCCATTGAGCTATACTGGAGAGTGTCGTAAGACACTCACTCACTCTCTCATACCAGGTTGGTCAATGGTTAGAGGTCTGACGAACACAGTCTCCTGGCCTTCCAAGTTGGGGATTGGAACATGTGGCGACTTGTTCCGTAAAAATGGTAATGCATTTGCATTTCCCGCCAAACACCGCTGCCTTGCGGTTAGGCTTTTGAGCCAAAGGCTTTGGTTGAGAACCCTAATCGTCCTCCTGTCTAGGTGTGGGCGCCCTGGCAATATCCCAGCCCACGTACAACCATGAATTGCAATACACAAATAGACTCATGCCCCATCGGCCGTCGCGTGGTGCCATCAGCCGGGTCGCCTTACTTGCTGCAT